ATCGACTCCAACGCCTGTCGGTGTTGCGGGAAGATGGGCCATTGGGCACGGGAGTGCCCAAATCGCAAGAAGGAAAAGAAGGCTCAGGCTCACCTGGCGAAAGCCGATGAAGAGGATGAGGCTACTATCCTTATGGCAACGTTCTGTGCACTGCACGACGTCGAGGCCATGGAGAGGGAAGAGGCGACGATGGTGGAAGGATCTAGCAAGGCCCTGAAGACCGTCAACCTCGACGAACCACGCGCCCAAGTCCATCTTGGGCATGTGGGCGTCGACCAGGAGCAGCGGTGGTATCTGGACTCTGGTGCCAGTAACCACATGACAAGCTCCAAGGACTCCTTCTCCGAGCTCGATGGCGATGTTACCGGTATGGTGAGGTTTGGTGACGGCTCAAGGGTGGCTATCCAAGGCCGCGGCACCATCATCTTCAGATGCCAGAATGGGGAGCACCGCGCGCTAACGGATGTATACTACATCCCGCAGCTGCGTTCCAGCATCATCAGCATTGGTCAGCTAGATGAGCACGGTAGCGAGGTTCTGATCAAGGATGGCATTCTGAGGATCAGAGACCAGAAGCAGCGACTTCTCGCCAAGGTGAAGAGGTCCCTGAACCGGTTGTACCTGCTCGACCTGAAGGTAGAGCAGCCGGTTTGCCTGGTGGCAAGGCACTCCGAGGAACCATGAATGTGGCATGCCCGGTTCGGACATCTCAGCTTTGACGCGCTTGGTCGGCTGGGGAAGATGGTCCGAGGGCTACCCCACATCAAACACGGAGGCGAGCTGTGTGACAGCTGCCTGGCCAGGAAGCAGAGGAGGCTACCTTTCCCAAAGGCGGCCAAGTATCGCGCGAAGGAAGCTCTCGAGCTAGTTCATGGCGACCTCTGCGGGCCGATCACGCCTGCTACATGCGGTGGTCGGCGGTACTTCCTCCTACTCGTGGACGATTGCAGTCGCTACATGTGGCTGCAACTCCTGACGAGCAAGGACGAAGAGGCGGTGGCGATCAAGAAGTTCAAGACGTGTGCGGAGGCCGAGAGCGGCAAGAAGCTCCGCGTACTGAGGACTGATCGGGGTGGTTAATTCACTTCGGTGGAGTTTGCTACATACTGCGCGGATCAAGGTGTGGGGCAACATCACACCGCGCCATACTCGCCACAACAGAATGGCGTGGTGGAGCGACGGAACCAGACAGTGGTCGGCATGGCCTGATCCATGATGAAGGCCAAAGGGATGCCGACAAAGTTCTGGGGAGAGGCGGTGACCACAGCGGTGTTCATCCTCAACCGCACTCCAACCAAAGCCCTAACGGGCAAGACGCCGTTCGAAGCTTGGTACGGGAGCAAGCCAAACGTGTCATTCCTCTGGACATTCGGTTGCATCGGCCACGTCAGGAAGACGAAGCCGAACCTCACCAAGCTGGAGGACAGGAGCACACCCATGGTGTTCCTGGGCTACACGGAGGGTACCAAGGCGTACTGGCTCTATGACCCACGCGGAGACAAGGTGACTGTCTCGCGCGACGTTGCATTCAACGAGGAGGCAGCTTGGGACTGGCACAGTCCGAGCACGGGGGAAGCGGGAGGCTTCAACAACACCTTCGTCGTCGAGCACTTGGTCATCCACGGTGGTGGAGACGCTACGGAACAGGTGCTACGCACTCCGGGAGGAGCGCCGAGCACTCCGGCGGTAGAGTCGAGCACTTCTAGGGCAGTGCCGAGCACTTCAGGAGGGATGCCAAGCACTCCGAGAGGACTGTCGAGCACTTCTGGAGGAATGCCAAGCACGCCAGGAGTGGAGCCAAGCGGTTCTATAGTGGCGGCGACCACTTCAGGACAGGTACCGAGCACTCCCGTGGCGGAGCCAAGACGTCTTACTGTGGTTCCGACCACTCCAAGACTGAGGCTGGGCACTCCTACAGTGTGGCCAAACACTGCAGGAGTTATGATGAGCAGTCCAGAAGCAGTGCCGAGCACTTTAGGTGCTATGCAGGGCACTCTAGCGGAAGAAGGAACTCCATCACCCCCGATCGAGTTTACCTCACCTCCAAGTGACATCACTGAGTTCGTGGACGCCTACCACGAAGGTGAGGAGTTGAGGTTCCACAGGCTAGACGACATCGTCAGTGACATAGGTCCCTCAGGTATGGCGGGTAGGCTGCTCAATGACGCAGAGCTGCTACTCATCAGTGCTGAGGAACCACCCACGTTCGCGCTAGCCGAGCGCGATGGAAACTGGCGACGGGCAATGCTGGAGGAAGGCGATCGAGGAAAATGAGACTTGGCAGCTCGTCGATCCACCTTCAGGATGCCGTCCGATCAGCCTGAAGTGGGTGTACAAAGTCAAAAGGGACGAGCTCGGCGCCATTGTCAAGCACAAAGCGCGCCTCGTCGCCCGAGGCTTTGTCCAGCGTGAGGGCATCGACTTCGAGGAGGTCTTTGCACCAGTAGCGCGCATGGAGTTGGTCCGTTTGCTACTTGCTTTGGCGGCAGCAAAGGACTGGCGCGTCCATCACATGGACGTTAAATCGGTCTTCCTCAATGGCGAGCTGGCGGAAATGGTCTTCGTCAGGCAACCTCCAGGGTTCGCTGTCAAGGGAGAGGAGCACAGGGTGCTCCGACTGCGCAAAGCGCTCTACGGGCTGAGGCAAGCCCCTCGAGCATGGAACGCCAAGCTTGACACCATGCTAGGCGAGCTTGGGTTTCAGAGGTGCGCAACCGAGCACGCGCTCTACACGCGACGACGGGGGAAGGAAGAACTCATGGTCGGCGTGTATGTGGATGACTTAATCGTCACCGGCGCGCGCACGGAGGATATCAACAGCTTCAAGCTAGAGATGGCAGCTCATTTTCGAATGAGCGATCTCGGCGCTCTCTCCTACTACCTCGGCATCGAGGTGAGACAGGGGAAGGAGGAACTCATGCTCGGGCAAAGCGCGTATGCCTCCAAGCTGTTGGAGAGGAGCGGCATGGTGGAGTGCAAACCATGCGTGACTCCGGTGGAGGAGCGGCTGAAGCTGACGAAGGACAGCACTGCGGCGAAAGTAGATGCAACACTCTACCGGAGCATCGTCGGCGGTCTGCGCTACCTAGTCCACACAAGGCCGGACATTACGTTCGCCGTGGGCTACGTCAGTCGCTTCATGGAGGATCCCAGAGAGGATCACTGGGCTGTGGTAAAGCGGCTACTATGCTACATCAAGGGAATGGTGAATCATGGAATCATCTTCCCAAAGACTGGGGGAAGTAGGCTGCAGCTCACGGTGTTCAGCGATGCAGACATGACGGGGGACATCGACGGATGACGGAGCACCTCTGGCGCACTCGTCTTCCTCGGGTCAGCCCCAATTTCATAGCTATCGCTGAAACAGAAGGTGGTGGCGCTATCTACGTGCGAGGCAGAGTACGTAGCGGCGTGCCAAGTTGTGTGGCTACGCCGGCTGCTGGGTGAGCTAACCGGCGTGGAAGCTCACCCACCAGCATTGATGGTGGACAACCAGCCCGCCATCGCCCTCGCAAAGAATCTGGTTCTGCACGACCGGAGTAAACACATCGACGTGAAGTTCCACTTCCTCAGGGACTATGTTGATGGAGGGCAGATCGTCATCGAGTTTGTCGAAACTGGTCGGCAACTCGCGGACGTCCTCACCAAGCCACTCGGAAGACTTCGACTCACGGAGCTGAAGGAGATGATCGGCATGGAGGGGTTACAAGGGTTAGCAGTAGGATTAGGGGAAGATTGTTAGCTAATCTACTGCCACCTTGTGAGAACACAGCAGAGGAAGGCGGCGCCGACTTAGTCTGCTGCGTGTGTGAACACAAAGCAAGGGAAGGCGGCGCCGACTTTGCCCCCCTTTGTGATCAAGATGGCAGCTGCAGTGCAGCGCCCGCACGCAGCTCACCTGCAACAAAGATCAGAGAACAGGCGGGCTCGGCGGCAGCAGAGTCAGCCTGCCAGTTTATCTAGTTCTTGTGCCCGGCATGGGCGCCGCACATGGACTAGATAGTTAGAGTTGTATAAATAGACATGTATGGCAACTCAGTAAAGAGAGCTCAGATTTGCCATCACACAGACAGGGCTTCGGCCAATGCTGTTGCCTTGTATTGTGCGTGCTTGCTCTGTTCTCCCTTCCTCTTCTAGCTCGATCCGTAGTGTGTGGGTACGGACAACGCTGGTACGTAGTCTGCACGGCTAGTGGGTGCTCGGCAACACTAGCGCGTGCTCGGCGAGACCGACAAGTGCTCCACTCGCCTGAGCCGGTGTTCGGCAAGATCGGCTGGAGTGGTTCACTATCGTGAGCCGGTGATCCTGTGAGACCAACGGAGTGGTCTGGAGGCTATCTCGGTGGTCTGGAGGCTATCAGGTAGTGGTCGGAGGCTGTGGTCTCTGATCTGCAGGCTATCTGTAGTGGTCTGGAGATCATCTCGGTGGTCGGGAGACTAACTGTGGGCCAACAGGCCTGCCCTGTTGATGTAGCACATAGAGGTGTCTAGCGCAATCAAGAGTGGCAGTGTTGCTTTTCTTTGTGGAGGGATTTCGTCGATGTCTCCATTGAGCATTGTCAAAGGTATGCCAACCAAATAGCACATGAGGCGAGTTTTCATTTCGAAACAAAATTGTATTTGGGTCGATAAACCCCTAGTTTTATTCTTGAATTCGTTATGAGTGATGTATAACTATTCTTATGAATAAATAAAGCTCGCCGAATGGCATTGCCTTAAAAAAAAGAATGACAGTAATAGTTAATAGCTGGGAATACATCCACTTAATGGAGATAACTTGAGATATATTACAGCACAAACACAGAAGAATGAAATAGCACTGGTGCACATGTGAATTACTCTGTTTCCTACTGCTAATAGTTCTGTTCAATAATCACACCCTTCTTTACAAGAGAAATAGCACTGATGCACATGTGAATTGTACAACTCAACACTGGATTCTATATTTATTTGTGTCATAACCAAATTAAACAAGGATAACAATCTCCCATGTCTGGTCCATCAGAGATGGAGCACGCACCTAAGGGATTTGCCTTCCTCCAGCAACTGGATGGCCTTGTTGATGTCCGAGAAGGGCATGTTGTGTGTTATGAACCCATCAAAGTTTATATTCAGGTCCTGTGACGACAAAGTAGGAGGAGCACATCAGATTAAAGATGGTACGTGATTATACAGCAGAAATTAAGGGAGCGTGTGACTCACCCCGTTGATGCACTTGTCGACGATGGCAGGCAGCTGAGACTTGCCCTTGACGTCACCAAAGACGCAGCCGGTGATCCGACGGCCGTCGAAGAGCTCCATCGGGTGTAGCGGCACCATCTTGGGCGTCGCGTGGATCCCCAGCACCACCGTTAGGCCCCAACCCTGCATATATACATACACGTAGAGTATGCGCATGACTTTGCTGCTTCTTTCCATTTCAGAGAGTTAATTAATATAAAGAGATTATTAATTTGTACTCCTAGAAGCAAAAAAAAAAACTAATTAAGCACAGCGTAGTACATCATGCGTGGACACGAAGGCCTCTCTCAGCACATCGTTGATCCCGGTACACTCAAAGCTGTAGTCGACACCAGCTCCGTCAGTCAACTCCCTGATCACCTGCACATCAAAGAACTCGTAATCAGTCCAGTCATGCATATTATATATATACAGGTGTATGTAATAACTTCTAGTATATATAGCTACCTCATGCACCGGTTTGTCACAGGCCTTGGAGTCGATGAAGTCAGTGACGCCCATCTCTTTGCCTGAACACACATTTCAAGCCGATGACTCATCGTCATAACACATGGAGTACGTAGTATATCTATGTTCATGGGTGTTGTTTGGTTTTACTAGTTTATTAGTGGCACACTGAACATCCTTGTGCTGTGATGCGTATACGTCACAAATTATCAGTTTTATTATAATTTCCAAAGAATAAAACTTCATTTTCCGTGGCTTGTCTCTTATAGCAATAGCTGCAATTTTTTCTTCTTGTACCCACTGTATTTAATTTAACCTTCACCATCTCACGGTAGGGGTGGGTTACTGATGATCTCCCTGTATGTACACCTTAATTTCTCTGTCCTTTTATTCCTTTGACATTGAAATGTACCGTGATGAAATAAACAAGAAATGCAATAGATGCACAGGACACTCGTTGACCCAAAATAGCGAATATGTTAGAAATAAAAGTAGCTAGGGAAGCTTCCTCCTAATCAAATGTCATACGGATTTGTCCTTACACGTTTGTTGAAAGCAGAAACCAAAATTTAGAAAAATCACGCCAAATTGTACGATTCTCATCAAAACATTCTTCTCTGACGATCTCCCCAAACTTTAAATAAACAATTTGCATGAGTTACTATGATGGGGATCTTTTTGGACAAAGAGATATTATACCGAATGACAGAAATATTGCGGGATTTTGTCATCGAGAAAGGTAATGTGTAATGGGACGCCCATTGACCTCAGAAGCAAAACGAGGTAGCACACACGGCAAGTTAATCAGAACAAATTGAACAAAGTAATTAACTCCCGTGATTCTCCCCGATTTCAAAGAAAAAAATAATTAGGAGGACTTAGGGCTTGTTTAGATGAGCCAAAGCTAGTTACTAGCTAGGCTAAAAAATAGCTCAAATTAACCAATGTTGGCTAGCTAGTTGACTAATAACTTGTTGAAAGACTTGGCTAATAAAATTAGTCGACTATCTATTAGCCTCCTGTTTGGATGCACTAGAGCTAATTTAGATTAATTTTTAGCTAGTGATGTTCAATCCATGCAGCTAACAATTAGCTGCTAAAACATAGCAGAGGTCCTATGTTGTGTAGCACTACTTTACTTTTAAAAAGGTGAACAATACTATCATGCAACTAATTGGGCCGTATGCAATTGATTGGTAAGAGATAAGTTGTTTGCTTGCTGGATATCAAATGTAGCACATATAAAAAATCAACAGATAAATGGAGATATATATATATATATATATATATATATATATATATATATATATATATATATATATATATATATATTATAATACTGTGTGCTGTGTCAACCCAGTGATGACAATGCTTGAATCGTTGTGTTCTCCTCGTAATGGCATCACCAGGGAAGTAACACCCTCGTCTCTAGCTTGAAGTCGACGAGCTAGCTAGGTGTGCTCTTCTCTCATCTCTCCAATCTCCATGGATGGTGGATGTATCTTTCTACTTTATTAAAATAAATAAAAGTATCTACAAGACGAAAATAACTAGTCTTATTTTGCGGGCACCAAAAATTTCTTGGCGCGCTTGTGCTTATGGCAGTTTGGAAAACAAAGAAAACCATATGCGCTAGTTTTGTTGAATCAAAGAAGAAAAATAACCATGTGAACCATTGAACTTCATTTTTTTGGTAACAAAAAGATATGGCTGAAATAAGCTGCAGCTGCATTAGACCAGCAGATTAAAGCGCCAGGTCATGGTTACGTGATGATGAAATGACACTTTTGTTCTGTAGCTTGACACGGACGTGGAAATGGGCAGCAATGCAACAAGGGAAGGAAACTTAACGACGTGGTCAGCACGCACCTTTGGTGAACTTTTCAGGGTTTATGTCAACGCCGATGATCCGAGATGCCCCGCGTAGCCTGGCACCCTCAGCAACCTAGAAGAACAATACAAAACAATTTATGTGGTAATGTAGTGGTGTAAATTTTGTAACAGTATTTATTTATGTATCTTATTACTGACCGCGAGACCAACAGTTCCAAGGCCGAATATTGCAACGGTGTTGCCCGCGGAAATGTTTGCAGTGTTCCATGCAGCCCCAACTCCTGATGATGCATGCCAAAGACATACGACAATTATATTGAAGATTATTATTATTATTATTATTATTATTATTATTATTATTATTATTATTTGAATGAATGAATGATGACCGATTGATTAAGGTTTGTGGGTAAAAAGAAGGGGAAAAAAACAACAGGTATGATGACTGCGATTTGCAGTCTCTGTCCACATTTGCACACATGTTGAGTAAGTTACGGCCCTAAGCAGCCTTGTTATTTTCCACAAGCTGAGTTCAGACACACGCCTTGTCTTGTCGGCGAGGTAGAAAGTGACAGTGACTGGATGAACCGTCACTTGCGTCAAAAACTATTTTCTTATGCTAGTATGAAATGAAATAAAGGTTGGAGGTAGCACGCACAGGAGATGGCACATGCCTTGGTTCACATGTCAGGCCATTCAGGTTCAGAGGCCCTCAGTGCAATTCTGGTATCAAACAGACTAGCTAGAAACTTAGAGTATATCATGCATGTCCAGTTCCCTTCCAGTTTGTTCACATGTCAAATTAGTCCAGCTCGACGAAATTGAATGTGAATATAATTCAACCATATTTATTTTCGAATTTTGAGAACCAACGGCCGGATGGGATATATACACGGATACGGTACCTGTGGAGATGCCGCAGCTGAGGAGGCACATCTTCTCCAGCGGGGCCTTGGGGTTGATCATGACGGCGCAGGCCGCGTCAAGCACGGTGTACTCGGCGAAGGTGGAGGTGTTGAGGAAGTGGTACACCGGCTGCCGCACCCCAGAGCTGCGGTCCACCACGGAGAACCTGGTGCCGCCATCGGAAGCCATGGTGCTCTTGAATGGGTTGACGCGGTAAGTCCCGCACAGGTTTGTCTTGTCGGACTCGCAGTACGCGCAGGCTCCGCACTCCCCGTTGAAGATGGGGACCACATGGTCGCCGGGGGCCAGGTCCTCCACCCCTTCCCCCACGCTCTCCACCACTCTGGATTATCCGTTATCGGAGGCAAAGCATCATGCATAAGGTCACCATCAATTGGATTGCGCATCCGTTGTTAGTCGTGTGGAGCCAGAGCCAACCAGCTGGGGCACATGGCCTAAGCTAATGTTTCCATGTGGCGGTTCAACGCAAAGCTGAGCTCAAGCCACTTTACAGAGAACTATCACAAACAATGCAAGATTTCAGAATTACAGACGAGTTGAACCTACAAAAGCACAGCTCATTTCCCGCGCCCTTTGAAATACGGAAATCTTTTCTGCTGTCCATGTTTTTTCAGTAAAATAAAATCCCTACGTTTTAAACGGCTATCTGCTACTGAAGCTCAAAGCTGAAAATGAGTCCCGAGTTGCAGTAGAGATATATATTGGTAGAAAAGACTCCAGGCGAGCAGTATCAAGCAAGTGGAAACTTCTTTTGCTATCTTATTGCAACAGTTTACATACGAAAACACAAGCCGGTGATAATAATCCCTTATAATAATAATAATAATAATTAATAAGAAGATGAAAGAGACGCACCCGGCTGCCTCATGGCCGAGGATGCGGGGGAACTTGCGTTGCAGCTCGTTCTGCCATATCATATCACGTCCATAAATACAGCAGCATCACATGGGCGGCCGGCCGGAAACACAAATCAATACGTAGATTATTAGTCAAGGGATGAAGTAAAGAATCAACTCGGCAACAAATTACTGAACACAGCCATACACACACATGTAGTAGCATACTCAGCTATACACACAGATTATATAATAAGATAGTACTAGATAATATTGAATGCAGCACGTCGTAGCTATATGGATACATGTACATACAGCAGTCACCTCAGTACTGCATATAGAAGTAGAGTACAATTACATACCTCTCCTTTCAAGAAACTGAGATCGGTGTGGCAGACGGAGGTGAAGAGCACCTTCACGCGCACCTCCAGGCGACCCGGCGGCGCCACCTCCACCTCCTCCATCACCAGCGGCTCGCCGGGACCCCACGCCACCGCCGCTGCACACGTACATACCATACCAGACAGTTCGATCATGCTTCCAGCATGGCGAAAGATTGATGGATCGATTGAGCAAGGAGGAGGAAGACGCACGAGTGGGAGGAAGAAGAAAAACAAGCCGCTGCAGGGCAACATACAGCATATTATATATATACCTTTGCATTTGATGGGCTTTCCCCGGGTGGAGGCGCCGTTCGCCAAGCTGCTGTGGCCGTTGGCCGCCATGGTGTCTTCGATCGATTGATGGTTGATGCGCCTTCTTGGTTCTCTTCTCTCCGGGCCCTTGCTAGCTGGTTTACTTTTCAGAGAGAGAGAGGGAGAGAGAGAGAGGAGGAGGAGGAAACGAATGGAGCTCTTGGCTCTAGTGGTCAGCTGGGGAGCGAGACAAGTGGAGCAGGCCTGCTGGTCTGTTTATAGATAGGCAGAGAGGCATGGAGAAACCAACCAGATCGATACTGCTTTTTGTGTTCTCCTTTTGTTTCCTTGCGTGGTCAACAAGGGCGCTGGGCAGGAGGGGCTTCGATTTACTCACTTGTATTTCTTTTTTCAGTTATAATGTATACATGTTCATCTATATAAACGTACGTATCTTTGAACAATGGAGACAATATGTCTCAAGATTAGCGAAGTCATTGTACATGCCCTGCTAACGACGCGAATCCAGATGAACAGATTTCGCTACAAGCAACGTAACTAGCTAGCTGATGTACGTTCAGTTCACAATTGTTGTTGTCGCCACCGGAGCTACGAGCCCATTTTTATCTGTGTCAATAATCTTGTTTAGCTTTGAATATCAATATCTATCATTATAACAGTAGAAAATTATAATTTAATTGTAATTTCTACCCTGGATAAATCTACTTGCACGGCAAGGCGCGTTCGTTCACGTGGGCAGGGCAAAGCGCCAGATGAGTCTCTTTCGCTCTCTCCTGAGACTGTATGAGTTAATGTTGCAGGTGTTTAATATAGTGCGGAGTCCAATCCTAAGACGAACTGAGGCGCATGGCGCGGTTATAGTAGACATATGACATGATCGTAGGAACACTTTTCAATTCGATCCCAAAATGAATTATACTCATTGGGTAAATCACCAAGCTTTCTATGCACATGCAAGTTGGAGCAGTACAAGTCCAAATACACTACACACTACGCCACTATGCATTTTTAGGGGCGGCTCTAGGGCATTTATAGCAACAGTTTGGTCAGCTGCTCCTACCAAATCATTGCTACAAATGATGGATTTGTATATAGGGGCGGCTACAAATCAATTTCCAAAAATCACTATTCCAAGCCAAAAAATAGGAAAAAAGTAAAAAAATAACAAATTATTTTTAATCCGTGGAGACCTTGTCGACAGAATATCGTCGGCAGTCCTCCGAGGGGTATCCTACGAAGGTAGATTGATCGGCAGAGAAGCATGTAATCAAGAACAAGAAGGCAACAGAGACACACGAGTTATACAGGTTCAGGCCGTCGGTATGACGTAATACCCTACTTCTGTGTTCTGTTGGATTGTATTGGCTATCGTATGATATTGCGTGAGTTTGGAGGGGATCCCTGCCCGCCGTATATAGTCCGGAGGGCAGGGTTACAAGTCGATTAGATCTGAGAGATAACCAGAAAGTAATAACAGATTACAGGAATCATAGGATCATACGTATCTTAACAGATCTCGTAGTATCTTCAGGATATCTTCCCAGTGTCTTGCGGGAGACACTGAGCAGAGTCATGCCCCGCAAGGCCTCATCTTGTGGGCTGGGCCACCCCTGGGGGCGCAGCCCATGTGATCCGCCGTGGGTATCCGGGGTCGTACCCCCCACGGCTAGTCCTCGAGCGCCTTGTACCCATTGTGCAACGCTGTCTTGAGCTTGTCCGAGCAGGTGCGAACAAAGCCGAGCAGTCAAACTCATGGTCCGACCACCGCGATGAGCTGCCGAGCAGTTGTGAGCAGTTGCCGAGCAGCGTAAACCATGTTCGAGCAGCGTGAACAGTCGCCGAGCAGCGTGAGTCATAGCCGAGCAGTATAACCCAAGTATGATTTGCCATAAGGGTGTAAGGAGCTCAAGTTCAGAATCGAAAATTTCTTCGCAGTGGACCAAGTGTGCCCATTTAGAGTCCGACCACGAGAAAAGAATATAGCCTACTTCAGCTTCAAGAGGCGCAGAGTCTTGCAGAATAAAGCAAACACATTCACCGCGAGGTGAAGTGTTCCCACTTAGTCCCCGAGCCTGACAGTAGATGACGTAGTCATGTGGTGCTAGGGTCCAAAGTAGAAAAATAGTAAAAGACCAGCCGAGCAGGCAGTCAGTCCCTGGGCGTAGCCTCGAAGAAAGAAAAAGCACACTCACCGCAAGGTGAAGTGTGCCCACTTAGTCCCCGAGCCTGACAGTAGGTGACGTGGTCACGTGCTGCTAGGGTCAGAAACAGCAGTCAACAGAAAAATCCCCAATGCGGCGAGGAACCGAGACGTAATGCTGGCGCAGTCCCCGAGCCACAAGAGGAAATCTTGGAGAAAAATACCAGAGTAATGGTTGTACAGTAGTAATTACTGAGCCGTAACGGTTGGCGGAGAAGTCGGCGAATACTCGGCGAGCCGTAACAAATTACAGAGATAAATCGGCGATACGGGCCGCGGTTGCACGAAAGCCCAGGTAACGGCCCACCTTCGTGTTGCGAAGAATTCGGAGAAGCGCAAACCGCGAGAGCGGTTTTCCAAAAACCCTCGAATGCAAAAGGGTGGGGGAGTGCTTTATAACTACGCCGCCGCACCCCGCGCTCCCACCTTTGCCACTTTGCCATTTCGTCTTCCTCCTCAACCCTCGCGCTTCCAGATTCACATCTACACTTGCTTCCGATGCCAAACCCTAACCAGATCTGAGAGATGGCGCCGAAGAAGGGAGCTACGAAACCAAAGAAGACGAGCCCCAAGAAGGCGAGCGCCGAAGCCTGGCGCGATGAAGAGTGGGTGCCGTCGCGAACGGGAGAGGCGGAGCTCAACAGATTGGTGGAGGCAGGCGTTCTTCCTAACCGCGTTACCATCGGATGGCGGCCAGCCCTTGGTGAGCCTTCCCAATGCCTCATACTGTTGAAGTAGTGGTATTTGAGGATTATTTCTGACGCGGGTTGGGATTTCCTGTTCATCCACTCCTGAGGGATCTATTGGAGTTCTAGGTGGTTAGTCTGTGCAATCTCCACCCAAATACCATTTTGCACATCTCGATCTTCATCCATTTCTATGAGGCGTATCTCGGAACCCTTCCACACTTCAACATCTTCCGCCACTAGTTCTGGCTGAAGAAGAGAGGCGACGGTGATTCCAAGGTGGTCGGTGGAGTGTACCTTCAGCTGCACGATGGAATGGCGGGCGAGTACCTTACTGTGTCACTAAACATGTCGCTGAAGGGGTGGAACGCCAGGTGGTTCTACATGAAGCAGAGCCACCATGCTATCCGATGTGACGCCGACCACACCCCGGAGAGCCAGAAGAGCTGGTCGGAGATGCCAAGCAGCACCGATATGGATCAAGTGAAGGAGCTCCTTGGCTTAATAAAGGGCGTGAAGACCAACGGTTGATTGGTAGCGGTGAGCTTTATAGTGCGCCGCGTCTAGCCCTGCAAGGAGAGGGCTCACAAAACCTTTGATTTCAAGGGGGAGACCGACAGCACCCGGGAGAGGACAGAGATGCTGTCGAGGGACGTAGTGCAAGAGTGGGTTGTAGAGCTGTTCGCTCCATTTGCCTCGTTCAACTTGCCAGGGCAGACGAGACCCTTTCACTACAAAAATCTGCCTCCTCAGGTAAATATCTCAATTGTGTGTTCCTGATGCTTTTTATCTTTTGTCGTTGCCGAGCAGTGGACTGACTCACTTATGCGAAGATCCATTCGCAGGAAAGAGCAGTGTACTTCTCGGGCATGCCGAGGGGCGATTGGCCACAGGCGGAAGATGTCTGGCCATCGACGCAGCCTGAGGAGGAAGCCGTCAGCATCTTGTCGGAGAATCCATCCCCGGTGTCGGAGAAAATCTAGGGGAAGAGGGCAGTGGCAGATGAGCCGACCCAGAAGAAGAGAAAGACGGCGGGCGCCGCTCCCCTCAAGCCGAGCGGCATCTCACTTGACGGTGACTAGACCACTCGGACGCGAAGGACCGCAGTGTTCGAGTGGTCAGATGATGACGAAGTTCCAGTTGCTCCTCCACCGAGCATGAAGACGCCTCCGCACAGCATGCGTGTGGAGGAACAGTCGATGGGAGGGGAAGAAGTTCCCCAATAGTGGGTGACGAGATCCCCCGAGCAGCAGGCAAAGGGAGTCCCCGAGCAGCAGGCGAGGGGAGTCCTGGAGCAGCAGGCGAGGGGAGTCCTAGAGCGGCGGACGGATGGAATCCCCGAGCAGCAGGTGAGGGGATCCCCAGAGCGGCGGGCGGAGGAGAGGCCGTGGCTTGGGGCTCGGGTAGGCAGCGCCGGTTCAGAAAGATCTATCGAAAAACCGCTGTGTAAGTACCCTTTGTCTTGGAGTTATTTGGTCGTCATTTCCGTATCTTTTTTTTGGTGATTTGATGAGCTGGTCTGATGCAGAGCGAGGCGTATGGAGGATCCAGCCCCGCCCGTCCAGACTGACGAGCAGCCGAAGGCTGGACCCAGGGTGGAGGAGATGCTGGTGGACCCCATCCTAGAGTCACCGGGTGCTCGACAGTCGGCGGAGGAGTCAGCCGCCGCTGCCAGCGGACTTGGCAGTGGTGAACAGTTGGCGCCGACTATGGACGGTTCGACGATGATTCCCGGGGCGACGGCGGAAACCGCCAGGTCTTCAGCAGCGAGTGTAGGAGATGTCGGTGCCACACCTGAGTCTGGGGCGGCGAAGCCGATGGTGCCCGAGGAGCAACCAGCCGCTCCCGAGGCGTCACAGGGCATGGTCCAAGCCGCTGTCCGGCCCCAGAGCCCCCCGGTGGTGCCTCCAGCCACGGCGGAGGAGGACAAGGTGAAAGAGATCAAACGCGAGGAATCTCGACCCCAGGCTGTCCGAATCCTCTGTAGACGCGATGATGAGGTGGTGGTCGTTGAGGAGGAGGACACCACTAGAGAGCTAAAGAAACTGGAGTCCGCCCTTGCCGGAGTGATGAGACAAATCAAGGTTTGTACTACATCTGTAATGTTCATCTTTGACGTTGGAGATTGTTCTTCTTCATAATCTTGGTGTTTTTTGCAGGGGATAACTCAGACTGCTGAGCAG